TGCAGTATTAATTTTTACTTGGCAGTATACCTAGTGATTTACAGTGAGGGAAAAAAGTATTTCATCCCCAGCTGATTTTGAACGTTTGCCCAGTGACAAAGAAAAGATCAGTCTATAATTTTAATGGTAGGTGTATTTTAACAGTGAGACACAGAATAACAAAAAGAAATCCAGAAAAACGCAAATCAAAAAGGTTATAAATTGATTTGCATGTCAGTGAGTGAAATAAGTATTTGACCCCTTCGACCTTGTTGGCAATCACTGAGGTCAGACGTTTCATGTAGTTGGCCACCAGGTTTGCACACATCTCAGGAGGGATTTTGTCCCACTACTCTTTGCAGATCCTCTCCAAGTCATTAAGGTTTTGAGGCTGACGTTTGGCAACTTGAACCTTCAGCTCCCTCCACAGAAGTATTGACTAGGTTGCCAGTATTAGGTTGCCAATAATTGTCCACACATACTGTATATTTAAAAAAAATAAAAACATTTGGATAAACATTTGTTGTGCTTCCAATTGTTTGATATCCAGATCAGAGTATTTTTGTGTATTTATTCAACAAAATGTTAAACAATAAAGACAATGTTTTACAACCTTTTTTGCTCATATTTAGTAAATGTGCAAATATTATTGGAGGGCATTGTAAATGTGTGTGTATATTAAATAAGCTGTTATGTTGAGACCAAACAACGTCCTGCTATGGCCTTCCTAGTCCCATGACTTGAATCCCATAGAAAACCTGTAGGGTGAACTAAAAAAAGGAAAGTCCACCAACTTTTACCTTGAAATTTGAAGGATCCTGAAGGATCCAAAGTGATAATTGTCATGAACGCACCCTAATTCAAGACTGTGCGTGACATAGTTGTGGTGGTGAAAGGGTTAAAGGTCACCATTTGTCTGCACTAGACTGGAAATAACGATAAAACCCCCCTTAATACCACCCACACTTAAGAATAATAATATAAATATTACTATTTTAGCACTGCCACCACCAAGACAATTCATAAATGGGGTGCCTTGGTCTCACAGGTAAACTTAATAATAAAAATCCACCAAATGTAACTAAACACAATATTTAAGCAATTGCAAAACAGTAATTAGTCTTTTCAGGTAACGTGATTATTTACCAGACAAAGGCAGAACTTAATAAAGGAATATTTATTATGAAAATAAATAAATAGTCACAGTGCATACAAAAACATAGATGACAATCAAAATTATTTATACCAACAACAAATAAAACAAAGGGATAAAATAACAGAAATTCCTAATCACTTACTCAGCTCTTAAAAGTAAAACGTATTCCCCAGGGGGTCTCTGGTAGGAAAGATGGGGACTCACTTAGAATTAGATTCTGCCACTCAAACAAGTACCATACACACTTCAGTATCATTAGAGATATACCCTGTGGATTATCATGCCTCACCCAGAGGTGGAGCAAAGGCGTACCTATAGAGACACTAAGTGACCACCCCCTTGTGTCATTCATCCAAATGGACACATTTGGTTATATCTTCTCTTATGTACCTGCCACAGAAATAATAATTGCATCTACGAATTTGTTATTATTTTTCCATTCCATAGATATGACACATACCTTACTTGTGACCCAATATGGTGAACATCACAATCCCTTCCCCTATGGTTAAGTTATGCCACTCACGTTTGGGCTTGTTTAGAAGATGGTGCTTGTCACATTCCAAATATAACAAAAATGAGGTTTAATTATTATTCTGTGGGTAAATATTAATGTTTTTTCCTTTTTGATTTGATATGGAGACAAGGCCGATGGTCGTTAACATATCAAAGCGATTGGCTCATCAATTAAGAGGTACAGACCATATGGCTGAAGCCAGACACTCAGGCTTTTCAAGTGTAGAAGCTCACACCTTGCAGAGCCTTAGATTAATCACAGGATTCATCCATATGGTAAAACCCTTTTCACATTCCTATGCAATTTACATTACCCCTTTTGTCATCTGACCTCTATGGGGGTCCCAGCTTCAAAGAGGAATTAAGGCTAAAAACCTTCTGATCTTCCATACAATCAACCCTTTTTGACATGGTCAATACCACCTCTACCAAGCAGGCAGGTCATCTATGCACTACACAAATTCCATTAAAGGACAATATTACATAGTACAATACTTTGTCGTGACAATACTGTATGGAGGAATGGCCTCAGATCCCTTGCCATGTATCCTCCAACCTCATCAGGCATTATAGGAGAAATCTTGGCAACGGGAAGTAACACAAAGTATTGACTAGGTTGCCAATATTAGGTTGCCAATAATTGTCCACACATACTGTATATTTAAAAAAAAATCTTTTGAATAAACATGTGTTGTGCTTCCAATTGTTTGATATCCAGAGCAGAGTATTTTTGTGTATTTAATGAACAAAATGTTGAACAATAAACACAATTTTTTTCAACCTTCTTCGCTCATATTTACTAACTGTGCCAATATTATTGGAGGGCATTGTAAATGTGTGCATATATTAAATATGCTGTTATGTTGAAACCAAACAAAAGGAACATAATGCTTTTATGTGTTCTGTAACTGCATACTGAAAAGATGTCTGCAATTTTTGTGATTCTCAATTCACATACACATTTTATGTTTTGTAGTGTATGTTTATAAAAAAATAATGTGTGTGTTATATATATTGTTGGTGTGGATACATTTTTAGTAATTTCTGCCAGTATGTATTAAATATTAATCCCACAAAAGTAGTTAAAAGCACCAATTTAACAACAAAAAGAATGTGCCTCAACTCAACGGGACTTACATATTACATAATTACATAGTTACATAGGTTGAAAAGAGATGTGTGTCCATCAGGTTCAGCTTTTCTCACATCTGTTTTTTGCTGTTGATCCAAAAGAATGCAAAAAAACTAATTTGAAGTACTGGGGAAAAAAAATATTTTTGACCTCAGAATGGTAGTTTGATTTATCCTTGGATAAAGAAGCTATACCCCACAAATTAAAAATTATATTCCTGAATGTTATGTCCAGTTGCTGTTTAAACATCTATACAGACTCTGATAAGACCACTTCTTTGGGCAAAGAATTCCATATTCTTATAGTCCTTACTGTTAAAAAAAACTTTTCGTTTACCTTAGACTAATTCTCATTTCTTCCATTCTAAACATGTGGCCTTGTGTCTTATGTAGAGTTGAGCAAACCCGAACTGTAAAACTCATGTGCCCTTAGAAGCCATCACAGCCATGCCTACTAATGGCAATGCTGTGATTGGCCAGTGCAGCATGTGACCCAGCCTCTATATATAAGCTGGAGTCACATGACGCCGCACGCACATGAGGTCTTATTCGTGTAGGGAGAGGATGCTGCCGCTGTGAGGGACAGCTTAGGAAAGAATTGTGCAAAATAGTACATTAGTGGGGTGCACTTCATATCTGAGAGTCAAATAGCAGCTTCAAATATTGTGGTTACATCGGAGTTTTAAAAAGTAAATTTGGTGCTAAATAGTACATTAATTGGATAGTACTTTAGTGGGGTGCACTTCATATCTAAGAGTCAAATAGAATCGTCAAATACTGCTTTCACATTGCAGTTTTAAAACTTAAAATGTTTTGGGTGCTAAACTGCTAAAAAGTATTTTAGTGGGGTGCACTTCATATCTGAGAGTCAAATAGAAGCGTCTAATAGTGTGCTTACAGCGCAGTGGTAAACATTCTTATTTTCTGGGTGCTAATCTGCTAAATAGTACATTTTGGTGTGTGCACTTCATATCTGAAAGTCAAATAGAAGCGTCTAATAGTGTGCTTACAGCGCAGTTGTAAACATTCTTATTTTCTGGGTGCTAATCTGCTAAATAGTACATTTTGGGGCGTGCACTTCATATCTGAGAGTCAAATCGAAGCGTCTAATAGTGTGCTTACAGCGCAGTAGTAAACATTCTTATTTTCTGGGTACTAATCTGCTAAATAGTACATTTTATGGCCTGCTCTTCATATCTGAGAGTCAAATCGAAGCTTAAATTACTGCAGTTACAGAGCAATTGTAAACATTCTAATTGTTTTGCTGCTAAACTGCTAAATAGCACATTTTGGGCGTGCTCTTTATATCTGAGAGTCAAATCGAAGCGTCTAATAGTGTGCTTACAGCGCAGTTGTAAAAATTCAAATTTTCTGGGTGCTAATCTGCTAAATAGTACACTGTTGCCTGGATACAATTCTAAAATAATTTCCATATGTCCTTTGCAGACTTTACATACTGGAAAAACACAGGTGCCAACTGCTGTGGCTTTCTGCAGTGTGCATACCGGCAAGGAGGGCAGGGTTGAGGAGTGGGTGGAAGATGATGTGGAGGATGATGAGGTCCTAGACCCCACATGGAATCAAGGTCATGCGAGTGACGTGTGCAGTTTGGAGGAAGAGGCGCTGGTCGCACAGAGGCACCAGCACAGCATAAGAGGGAGCAATGTACAAAAGCAGAACGGCCGTCCCCTAGCGCTCGTCGGCATGTATTAGCTCGAGAATTACCAGTTATCCAAGTAATACATGTAGCGATCAAAGGATCCATAATAGAGTTGAGCAGTTCGGGTTCGTACCAGATTTAACGATCCATTCGTAGTTTCACAGTCAGGTGGGCAGTCCGGTGACCAGGACCCAGACACCGCCTGGGCAGCGGTCGGACGACTGGGACCCAGTATGCCTGATGTTAAAGTTAGGAGTCACAGTGTGGAATGGATTAGCAGGGTCTGGTGCAGGGTAACTGTACGCACCCTGGTGTTGAGCACCAGCGTTTGTATGGCCACATACCAGGGCCCCGATGCAGCTTCAGTAAATAGAGTACTGGATACCAGAAGCTATCACCAGACTGATCCGCAACTTGGAACAGGATGTGACATTCACTGTAGAGGCTTTGCGCGCTTTTGGCATTCTCACCCTGCTGCTGCTCACCTGTTTGCGCTGCAGTGTAACTTCGGCCTTCCCGCTCACCGCCTCATGAGACTGTGCGAGCAGCAGCAGGCGATAGTGGAGTTTCAGCTGCAGCACGCACGGGTCAGTGGCTCTGCACCAGACTTCCCTCCAATTGATCAGAGTTAAAGGATTTCAAGTGGACTCATTACAATTACAGGGCCTCTAAAGAGTCCTGTATTGTTATTTGTCGTCACTACCTTCCCGCGCCGGGAGTGGGTCATTTGCGTGCCTGCTGCCTTCCTTGCATGTGGTAGCCATTTTTCAGGGTCCCTGTACGGAATGGAACCCTGATTCCCTGTTACACATGGTCACCATGGTAGGCGCAGAAACTGGCATCGAAAGTTGATATGGATGACATCCGTATCACGGGGATGTGAGATTGGCCCGATGTTCTCTAGAGTCAACAAAGTGCCTCCGCAACTATAATGTCAACAGCTACTCTGCGGAACAGAGTTGTCTTTTTTTTATATGTCCCAATATTTTGGGGGCTACCCCAATTAAAAAAATATATATTAAAAACAGTGTTGGCTACCTCATCCTCCACCGCTGCTTCCATCTACACCGCCACGGTCACCGCCTCCTCAACCTATGTACACATTAGCAGAGGCTTGTGAAGGCCTTTTCGCCATGCATCAGGAGTTGAGCATTTCTCCATGCATCAGGACTGCAAGAAATGCACCGCAGGCCGCAAATTTTTCTTTTTTTGTATGTCCCAATATTTTGTGGGCTACCACAATAAAAAAAAAACAAAAAACATAAAAACAGTGTTGGCTACCTCATCCTCCTCCTCCACCGCTGCTTCCACCTACACCGCCACGGTCACCGCCTCCTAGACCTATGGGTCACTTAGTATAAACTATGCACACAATAGCAGAGGCTTGTGAAGGCCTTTTCTCCATGCATCAGGAGTTGAGCTCAGTTTGAACATTGAAAGAGAATACCCTGCACTCCAACCCTCTCTCAAATGGATAATTCCTGTGATCCTCCTGACAGCCATGCTTTCAATTTTGATTTATGTTCTTCCAAAGCTAAAATCAAAGATTCCATCTAGTGCTTTTTTATGGCTCAGCTGTATTTTTAATTTTTATGTTATTTTAAGTGACTTCCCTATCCACATTGGTTTGCATGGCACTTGTCCTACTCTTACCCCCATTTTACTTCCTTTTGCAGCTCTCTAGCCCTTTCCAGGAGGTTTTAGAGGCATTTTTGTGGCCAAAAGTTCGGGTCCCCATTGACTTCAATGGGGTTCGGGTTCGGGGTCAAGTTCGAGCCCGAACCTGGACTTATTTTCAACTCGCCGGACCCGAACATCCAGGTGTCCGCTCAACTCTAGTCTTATGTATAGACCTGTTTATGAACAGATTTCCAGACAATGGTTTGTATTGGCCCTGAATATATTTGTAAAATGCTATCATATACCTTATGAGATGCTGTTTTTCTAAACTAAAGAGGTTTAAACATGTTAACCTTTCTTTATAACTAAAATGTTTCATTCCTTTTATTGATTTTGTAGCCCACCTCTGCACTTTGTCTATTGCTATAACATCCTTCTTTAGAACAGGTGCCCAAAATTTCACAGCATATTCAAGGTGTGGTCTTAGCAGTGATTTATGAAAAGATACTCATCCTGAGAATTAATGCCCTTTTTATACATGACAATACCTTACTAGCCTAAGCCACTACTGATTGACATTGCACATTGTTGCCTAGGTTTTTGTCTAAAACAATTCCCACATCCTTCTCGTTTGTTGTTATCCCTAATTTACTACCATTAAGTGTGTAAGTTGTTTCTGCATTCTTTAACCTGAAGTGCATAACTTTGCATTATTCTACAATAAATTGCATCTGCCATTTGAGTGCCAAGTCCCCTATCCATCTAAATCCCTTTGTAGCAAAAAAACATCTTGCTCACATTGTATTACTTTATAGAATTTTGTGTCATCTGCAAACACTGAAACATGACATTCAATACTTATTTCTAGATAATTTATAAACAGGTTAAAAAGAAACGGTCCCAAAACAGAACCCTGAGGGACACCATTTACCACTTTTGTCAAGCTTGAAAATTTGACATTAATGACAACTCTCTATTTAAAGGGATAGCTCTTAGTAAAAGCATTAAGCAGTAAAATTCCCGCTCATAGATACTGCTTGGAATGAGTGTTCTTCCGTATTTCACAGTCAATGTGTAGTAAAAGATAGAAACAAAGAAAAATTGTCTGTTTATAAAATAAGATTAATTTGCAAATAGAGAGAAATGTACGTACATTTAAAGGAGCACACCTATGCTCCATGGAAACAGTGTGGGGGTACAATCCCCACCAGTGATATGTAAGGAAAAGGAAATAAAGTGCAGTTCTGCCAACAGGTGACTTCCAGATGATGGTGTGTGTTAAAATACAAGCAGGACCAAATACAATAAATTGTATGGCAAAAGCAAATGTAATTGAAATTTATCAACAAAAGTTTAAAATAATAAATACAATACTTTACAATCTTAAATCACAACGCTTTTCACCTAACAGGCTTTCTCAAGTGAGAACAGACACAAATGTGGAATTTCTTAAAGGCACAGTGCACTTTATATTTGCATATATCACATTCACATGTCTAGAATTGGAATTGGAACTAAAAAGTTATAGCTCACCTTATATTTACATATTTTTTGTGAGTATTTTAAAGACTTGGTACTTTATTTGTTGCTTATTTTTAGTATTAAAATAATTAATAATTATTAATAATAATTTAATCCAGTTTGAGCTGATTTAATATGCACTGTATGATTTCAATGTACTACTACAGAGTAAACATATTTTCCAATATTGTTAACTTGTTTGTACCAAGTATGAGGCCATAGTTAACTTTTGAGGGTTTGTGACAGGATTGAAAAACCAAACAAAAACCAGTTGTTAAATAGTGGTTAGCATCTCCTATAGAGAATAATGAGCATTATTAGCTGCTACTTACTGACTGGCTTTAAGTAGAGGCAGTTAGTAATTCCTTTTCACTACTGGTGACGTTTTGCAGTCAGTAAACAACTGCTAGTCTTTAACAGGTGTGACTGGCATATTATCAGGTGGCTGGTAAAAAGTAACAAAAACATTGGTTTACTAATATAATTTTAGAATAAATGTTGGAAAACATATCTAAACAAAAAGCATCATGAAGACAAAGGGCAAACTACTATCAAGAGTAGTACCGTATAACGTTCTAGATATGCATTAATCAGGGTTAGATTGTAAAACATATTGAACGCATATTGCAATGATAAACCTATTATAAAAAACAAAACAAAAACTATGGCGTAAATACAACCTTTGCTAGAGACGTTATAAAAGCATCCACAATGTGAATGATAACTATAAATGTGGTGAATGTATAGAAAAGAGATCTGCAGCTGAGATCTGAAAAGCTATAATTAGGATGCTCCACAAAGTTGGGATACATAGGGAAAGCTATTGTTAAAAGAGTCATATCATGATTTCATGTGTATGGAATTTACTAAAAGTCATGTGGGGACACAGCAAACTTGGAAAAAAAACAAGATCTAGGCTTAGAAGAGAATTGAGCTTTTTCACAGTTAGAGCAAAATTCTGCATATAGAGCAAAGACAACACTGCAAAACACTTGGATATCAACATTACCACTGTACAGCGTGAGTACAACATTGTGGGGACACTTTTAAGACATGTAGATTTAGTTATGATTTTGGGTGTAATTGATGGAACTAATGATAAGTCAAGTCTAGAGAAAAACCTGTGTTATTCAAGATGTTTGAGACTTGGGTAGATTTTTACTTTCGAGAAGGCTACTAATCCTAAAACCACAGCAAAACAAGAACCTATAATTCTTTGAATGGCCTAGCACAGAAGCAAAAAGATCATACAAAATTCTCTTTATTAGTGGCTTCCATTCCATCAAGCAAAACGTGAGCAGTTTTCTCCATGAAAGATTGTCAGCAACGTAGGATTAAACTTTGCAAAAATGTAATACAAAAGACACATATGTTATTGCAGCCAAAGTTAGTACAGACACAAGTATGAAACCAATATATATCTGGGTTGTGCAATTATTATTTATGCTGCTATAAATTATTTTCAGCAACAGTGTGTTAGTTATATTGTGTATAAAATCTCAAATTAAATAAATCAAATGTTTATATATTATTTTTATGCCTCAAAAACAATGTTTCTGTATGGATAGCTTGCTTTCATGGTTATATGAAGGCTACAATTGAAGCAGAAAAATTAATGTAGATGGCATCTCATTTGAAATACATTATGTAGGTATAAATGATGCTTCTCTGACAGGTTTCCATTTAATAATCTTTACTGCCTGGAGTTGAATTACTATATTTTGTAATTCATATAAAATAATAGAATAGAATAATCAAAATTTTAGCATTGTTTTGCTAATGTTAATGTTTTAGGTTTTAGCAGAATGCAGCACTTTCAGCCTGCCTCCTTAGTCATGCCCCATCACACTAGAAAAAATACTTCCTTATCAAATGTAGGTACACAGCTCTGACCTTGTCCGCACTTAGTGATCTAACTATAAAGGAATTTGCATTAAACAGAGATGACAACCAGGGAGACAAATGCTAAATAGATCATTAGCTAATTGTAGTATATCTGACTGTCTTCAGCCAGGTTTGGAAGTAAAATCAACCCACTCGGTGCTGTCAGGGGCTGAGCTGTATACATACACTGATAAAGGCGTATTTTTGGCATGGGTGGTGTAGCTAATTAGAAAGGCTTCTGGTGCACCATTCTGCAAATAATTTATTTTTTAGTGCAATAAGTAAGAAATGTTGCACATATGCAGATTATCCCCAATGCTGAACCCCATCTCTGGCACAGTCATTGGGACAAGAGTTTCAGACTAACTATTATCATGTGTCTGTGCAAAATTGGCATCTGATGCCAGCACACAAAGCATGCTGCTGCAAGAGAGCCAATGGGAGCTTGGCCCCCATCATTCATGCCACCACTGTCTTCCCCTCGGTCTTCACTCCCTGACCTTCATCTCCATATGGTAAGGTAGGGTGATGTCAGTCAATGAGGATTGGGCTGAGGAGAGAACCTGGCCTTGGTGATGGAAAATAGTTTTTTTTTTCCTTTATTTTCTTTTGTTTTATTTGGTGGGGGGCTGGCAGTCCATTATAGAAAGAGTTACTCTAAGTAAAACCAGGGATTTATGAAAACTTTGTTTTTTGGTTGGAGTAACACTTTAATTATTAAAAAAAAGAAAAAATACTCTGTCTGTTATTGGAAACGATTTTAAGGTGAAGTGTCATTGATGTGTATATTAGCACCAGCATTTCCTTTTAACTGTGACTAATCTTTCTTCCTATATATTAAATTGTATTTCCCCCTATTTATTTAATTGTTAATTTTATGATATACATGATCGCAGGATAATATTACCAAGGTCATTTTCTTCTCCTGTTGGTATGTGTGTATGTATGTGTGTGTGTGTATGTATGTATGTATGTGTGTGCGCATG